TGGAAAAAGAGGAACCCTCGCGCAATGTTGGTGGGAATGCAAGCTGGTATAGCCACTCTGGAAAACAGTATGGTGGTTCCTCAAAAACTTAATACTAGAATTATAATTCAGTAATTCCACCACTGGGGTATTTACCCAAAGAAAACAAAAACACTATTTCAAAAGGATATATGTACCCCTATATTTATTGCAGCATTGTTTACAAAAAACAAGATATAGAAACAACCCAAGTGTCTATCAGTAGAAGAATGGATAAGAAAGATGTGGTAGGCACAGTGGAATTACTATTCAGCCATAAAAAGGGATGAGATCTTGCATCTGCAACAACATGGATGAACCTAGAGGGTATAATACTAAGTGAAACAAGTCAGAGAAAAATACCACATGATTTCACTTATATGTGGAATTTAAGAAACGAAACACACAAACAAACAAACAGGCTCTTAAATACAGGAGGATGGGTGAACTGGGTGATGGGGATTAAAGAGCACACTGATTTTGATGAGCAGAGTAATGTACAGAATTGTTGAATCATATTGTACACCTGAAACTACTATAACACTGTATGTTAATTATACTTCAATTACAAAAAGGAAAAGAAAAAATACGATACATTTTAAGCCGACAGGGCTTTTTTTGCCGGGGGGGGGGGTGAGAGGTGGGAGGGTCAAAATGGTCTTGCTTTTGTTTTCCTAGGAATGGACAATCTAAGGACAACCAAGGATATTATATAACTCAAATAAGGCATATATATGTGTTTTTTTAAAGGGAAAGAGCCTAGGATTCATTTGTTTTCAGATTTATTTCAAAGAGCAAATCAGTTTGAAAATACGTACACCATAATTTCTTTCTATACCAATTTAATTTTACCTATTACTAAAGAAAATTCTCCTGAGCTTCCTCTAATATGAACCTAATGTCTAAAACCACCCTTTAACATAAACATATCATTTGATTCAACATATAAGTGGCAGCAAGAGCAAGCTGGAAAATAGACTTTATCTCAAATAAGGAAAAAGTCCGTTCATAAGAAAAAGACAAAAAAAAGGCCTAAATTCAAAAGGAAAAAAAAGTAATAGACACTTAGGAAAATGTACTTGGTTTTCTCATGTTTAATGGAAATAATCACAGTACCTGCCCCACAGGGCTGTCATGAGAATTACATGAACTCATTCAAACAAAGCACTGGAAATAGTGTCTAGGTGCTCAATTTAGTGCTCAATAAATATTAGTGCTAATTAGTATTAATTATTGTTACTGGCGATGGCTCATGTTATCCGGCCATCTTTTGCTTTCCCGCTGGGGAAGGCAAGCACTCTTGGAGGGATCACAATCTTGTGAAAATCTTGGCTGTACAGGATGATAGCCTGACTTCACAGGGGGGAACACACTGAGAAAACTGCTCCAGATTTCTCAAATCTAGCAGCACGAGAAGGTAATTACAGAGGATCAGTGTTTCTGATCTGCGAAGGAAGATCTATCACCTAAAAGACAGAGATAAACCTTGTTCTGCATTTTCCAGAGAGACAGCCTTGAATTGAATGGTTAAAGTTACAAAAGGACATGTCAGCTGAAAGAAAGACTCTCCAACACGGAAAACACTGACCTCATCAAAGGACAGGCTGCCCTGAAGGGTGGTCAGCGAGCTGTCACTGAGTGTGAATGCAGGAATTTTTGCCAGCCATGGGTGATCACGAGAAGCTCCCTTAACCAGTCCCTGCTAGATGACAATGACAACAGCCATGGTGATGAGGAGAGCTGACACTTCCACGGAAACTGCCCAGCACTGCTGGACTTTACATATACTGACCCTCGTAATCCTCTTCACAACTCCCTTCCACAGCCTGTGTTCCTAACCACCATGATCCGCTGCCTACTCCCCCCACCCCACCTTTAGAAACTTCAGCAAGCTATTTAGCCTCTCTGTGCTTGACTTCCTCATTTGTAAAACGAGAGAAACGGCATTTATCTCAGAGGACAGTGATAAAGAGTAAATGAAATAAATTTGTTGAGTACCTAGAACAGTGCCTGACACATAGCAAGTAACTTATATGCGATTTCTTTTTACAGAAAGGTCATTTCAACTTTTAAGAAAAGTTTTTACTTGGATGGCAAGTTAAGGAAGGTATAAAGAACTGTCTTGGCTACAGTGAGCAATGTGATTTTTTTTTCTTATCATATAAGTGGAACTCACGGCTTGCTGATTTAAGATTGATTCTCTAACAAAACGAAATCAGCCATGAAAAATATGGGCAAAACTGAAGTGGGAGCTCTGCATGAGATCCAATACTCTGTATACTTTGTCATGGCCGATCGTAAGGCCTTGAGAAAAGGGACCTCGTCCATTACTCACTGCTGACTTGTCTTAACCATACTCAAGGCCTTGGCCATTAAGTCAGCCACCCTTTTAGCAGAATCTTTAATTGCTTTATACAATGGACTCAACCCAGATCTACTTAATCAGTTCTTAAACCTAGGTCAATCCAATCTAACTTCTTTTGCGCCTGCCATCCAACTGCAACCGGGCATCCAATGTGGCCTAGTAAAACTTCCTCTTGACCCGGAGTCATTTTTCCTAAGGTAACATTAAATCTTTCTTTTGCTCAAGCTTCTAAATCTACTCCCGCCCACCCTCAAATATTCTAGACTACTTCGTAATTAGAAAATAGACGCAATCAGATACAAATCCTTTCCACTTTTCATACACCTTCCTCAACACCCATATACTCCTGCAACAGGAAATCAATTCAACATGTACTGGTATCTCTGTTGCAGCCTTTTCCCCTCTCCTTTCTGTTTTCAAAGGAAAAAAAATGCCTCCAGACCTCCTTTCTCAGGCTGACTCTTTCTTCTATTTGCTGATGCTACCCAGGAAATGCAGGTTACATCACGTTCCTTGGTTTGTTGTTCTGGAAATTATTCCCACCTCTCTCCTGGATCTTCAAACTTTTTCTCCTGCTCTATATACACGGCCATAAAAAAAAAAAAATTTTTCTTAGTCTTGTTCCCCTCATAAACCTTGACACTTTCCCCATCTTACTGCCAAGTATCGAAGAGTGGTCTCTTGCTGTAGGTGTGTAACCAGCTGAACTAACATAAATCTGAATCACTGGAAAGCATCCCGATACAGGTTATTCTTGATTACAATCAATCTTTTAAGTATGTTTAAAGGTTCTGACATCCAGCAGCCACAGATTTGGTAATGAACGTTTTTTTTTCCATTTTCATAGTGTTTTTAAGGAACACAATAAAGGAAAATAGACCACAGAGGTTTGTTATATATGACAGACTGTACTTTAACTAAATGTTGATGTGCTTGGGACTTCCAGCACAAAGTTTATAGCTTAGCAATACCAACACCTTACAAATGTTTTCTGAAGGGTAGTTCTCATGAGTTAAGCCCTTAACAAAGTAATGCCTGAAGTTATGAACAATAATATGATAATGTAAATGGTCTACATAAACTCTTAGAGCCTCATCTGATTTGAAATTTACCACCTATATAGAAAAATAAGCTCACGGAAAGAAGGATTTCCCTTATGCATTCAGAAAAAAGGACCTAAAATGGGAGAGAAGATGATGTATTTAATGAGAAGCAAGCAAGCCAGTGAGGGTGGGGTACAGAAAACAAGGGGAGGGAGGGGCAAGGGTCAGATCCCCCAGAGCCTCCTGGGCCAGAGTTAATACATTTTGGTAAACCATAAACATAACAGGAAGCAAATGAGAAGCCTTAAGCTGGACGATGGAAGGATCAGAAACGCAATTTTAGAAGCATCACTTTAATTGCTGTATTGAGAATGAATGGACAGCCTACCAGAGCCTGTGAGGGACCAGTGGGAGTCTGAGAGGGAAAGGAATGGTAGCCTAGGGAATGGGTGGCGGTGGAGATGAAAACAAGGCGGTAGATTCTGGAAGAGAAAATCACTAAGACTTGGGGAAGATATGGCGGAAAGAAAAGGAAGAGAGATGTCAAGGGCATGTTGGTTTCCTGACTTTATATACATATATACATGGAAATGAGTAAAACATCTTGTACAATATATACTGAATTAACAGAAATTACCAATGGGAGGGGAAGATGAATTTTACATAGTAAAAGGCAGACCTTCATTTTTTTACTATATAGATATCTGCATTGTTTAAATACTTTTATAATCAGCAGGTATACATTCTTTCATAGTTAAATTAACATGCAATAAAAAAGAAACAAAAGCATTTGCCTGGCTGAAAAGAACAGGAATGGCATTTTGGGGGGAAGGAACAATCCATCCAAAGGCACAAACACATGAAAGTACATGGCATATTTAAAGAATATCAAGGAGTCTAGTGTTTGCAGAGTAAGAAGGAAGGATGTGTGCTGGGATAGGATGAGCAGAGTTGTAAAGCTGTTTTATGGTATGCCCAGTACACGAAGGACCTTATTATGTGCCAGTTTACGGAAAGCATTCCCTACTCTGTGGGAAATGGGAAAGCACAAAGTTTTCACGCAGGAGGGTGGAAAAAATAGTCAAGTTTCTATTTCAGAAAGATCACTTTAGAGGCAGGGTGAAGACTGGGCCAGAAGGGAGATGGGAAAATGGGCGAGATCACTTAGGCTGGAACCTAAGTTTAATCAGAGGCAACAGAAACAGAGAAGGGGAGAGGTCTGAGATTCACTTCAGGAGACAGGACTTGGCGTGGATGTGATAGGGAAAAGGGAAAGTCAAAAACGCTTCCCATGGTTTCTAGTTTAGAAAACCAGGTAGTGAGGACATCAGTTTAGGTAATTCAAGAACAGGTTCAATGAGAAGATAACTAAATTTTGTTTTGGAGATGCTGAGGTTAAAGCACCTCTGGAAGCAGGTCAAGGTACCCAACAGGAAGTTGGCTATACAGGTTTGGATTGGAGGAACAAGGTCAGGACTGGAGCACGTGAACTATTACCCAAAACAGAGAATTTCCAGCCTACGGACGGACACATAATTACCCTTGACATAATTTCATTGAATTCTTAAGGCAACTTTCAAAAGTTGACCAGTTCCATTTATTCTCATAGTTGCAAAAATTCCACATAATCATTGAAGTCTCTGTAAGCGGTAATTTAGAAAGCCAGAGCTTTTTGTCTTGGTCTCTTTTATTTCTTCCCCTTCCCTTTTTGTCAGCCATTCTTTCTATCTATCTAGTAAAGGAAGATACAGGAAGTATAATATAAAAACATTTGTTATTAAATATTTCCATATTTTGTCTTAGTTGTAAAAGGCAAAGAAAAGAACATTTCACAATTCTACCTTTAACAAAACCTAAATTAAGTAATGGTTTACCTATGTGACTCTCCACTGATTTTTCTCTTGCAAGTCACTGACCCTTAATCAACTGGCATCCCCAAGGCAGTCAACTCCAGCTGTAGCTCTAACTACACAGGTTCCTGCAACAATTCCACAGTTCTGTTGTTGCTCACTGTCAGAAATTCAAGTCACACTGTACCTCTGTCTAACCGACGGTGCCCTAGTTTGGTGGGAGGTGGAGAGGAAGGACCTGTTGGCAAGGAAACAGCTGCTTCCTTCCTGAGCCAGGGAAAACCAGGAAGGTGACAGATGGGCAGAACAGAAAAGCAGCCAGAAGCTGCTTTGGCTCCTTGTTGGCAAGGATTTTCACTGAGGCACAATTGGATATTTTAAAGCATATCAAGGATTGAGAGACTTTTATCTGCCTGGGTGCTCTGGGGAAGTTCAACAGGGCTTCCCACATTTTCTACATTTGAAAAACTTTTAAGTTTGCAGTGGTACAAAGAACCTGGTCTCAGCCTATGTACAGTGGGCTAAGACTGCAAGGCACTGTCCCATTTCCCTTCAGGATTATACCCAAGAGAATGCACTTTCTGGTTTAAAAAAAAATTTTTTTTTAAACTTTCCTATGGTTATATTTGCATGACTTATCAGAATTACTATTAAAATTTCATTAGAAAATGCGTTTAAGTGTTTACTTTTATATAGTTAATTTAAAAAGATTCGTTGCAAACTTTTATATTTTGTTCTTTTATCATTCCCCCTCCCAGCCACTTGTGTACCCAGAAAATTAAATATCCAAGGGTTCCTGGATAAAATAGACAACCACTGGATTGATACGTTATAACTAACATATTTTTTAAAATTGCTGTAAACAGCTAAGTTATTCTTCATCAATAGAAATTAGCAATCACTGAAAAATAACATTAAAAACTAGTGTGGGCATGAAATACGGACTTTTAAAACATCAGTTTACTATGCTGATTAATTCAACATTTATATTTGCATCAGAACTTAATAATCCCATAAATAAATAGAGCTCTCAATTATTTTAAAAAATCAAGGGATAACATATGTATTTAAACATATTAGCAGCATAAAGACGTATGCTTCAACACACTTATTGGAAAACGCCTGAAAATATTACTACACTGAATTCAAGGGCATCCGCAGGAACCTGACATAAAAGTTCTCTAGAGTAACAACATTTCAGGAAATTCCAAAAAAAGGAAAAGGGTCAAATAGGAAATAGCCTCAATTAATTGACAAAGTTCAGTGCTTGCTCCAACTTGATTTTTCTCTCCATTGCAAAACAAAAACAACAAAACAAAAAACGAGTCTCGGGATGGGTGAGTGAATCACTTAGATGAAAGTTCATCTACTGGAATAAATGGAGAGGCCGCTTGGGCAGGCGACACAGGAGAGTCGGTGGTAGTGCTGACTTTCGCTGGTGAGTTACAAGAAGATCCGGCGCTGCTGCTGTTTCCATCAAGGGTATCAGACGATACACACACACCAGGATCTGACAGCTGGGCAACGTCAGAAGAAAGCATGTTGGTGATGCCCTGGAAAAATCTCTTTGGCTGATACTCAGTTTCCATTTCACATTTTCTTTTCAATGGTCCAAGAACACTTGGTCTAATGCAATTGATGGGACTCTGGCTTCTCCGGGTAGTAAATCGAGTCGTTGGGCTGGGAATAGGACTTGGAGGCAATCCATTGCTACTCACAAAACTTTGCAAGGATGGTGAAAAACACTGCTTCCCAATCCCCCGGGTGGGTGACGGTGCTGGTGACACCGGAATGAAATCGATGCGCTTTGGGGAGGCGGACTTCTCCACATCGTTGTCACTCAGGCTGAAACTTTCCTCCCAGGAGTGGCTTATCTGCATTGCGTTCTGCACCTCGCGCTCGTGGACGGTCTCTCGGTTGATCAAGTCCATGCCCTCCTCCTGTTTGATTTGGTGCAAGCGGCTGCTGTGCATGCGGACGGGGGAGGCCGGCAGCAGCAGGCCGTGGCGGTTCGGGAACGTTGTGCTGTTCCGCCTGGCGCTCGGCGCCTCGGCCTGGAACACCGGTGAAGTGTCACTGAGGCCGTGGATCAGGGGGGCGCTGTTAGACCTCCTGAGGCCCCCGCCGGCGCCACTGCCGCCGCCCTCCGCCGGGCTCCCGCCAGTACCCGGAGGCAACTCCAGGTCTAGCTCCATCTTCTCCTGAGCCATGTCGGGGGCAGGGAGGCGGGGGCGGCGCTCAGAGACCTAGGACTCCCATTCCCCGCAGTCCAGGGCCAGGGCCACCGCTGCCGCCGCCGCCGCGAATCTGTCAGCGGGCTCGTCCTTTTGCGCATGCGTGCCCCTTCGCGCAGGCGCCGTGAGACGTCTCTCTCCGCGGCGCCTGCTTAATGCGTAATAGCCGTTCCGCAGCCCTAAGGGGAGGGGCGAGGAGTGTTTGGGCGGCTATTCAGTCCATTTCTTCCGCAATTAACTATTGAGCTGCAAACTCGCGGCTACGCGTGTTAATTCGGTTACCATATTCCGGAGTATGGGTTTATAAAAGGAGACCTGAGAGGCCGTTGGTGATATGGGGCTGTATGAAGGGGAGTGGAGCTTGGCCTAACCAGGGAGGGCTTCCCTGAGGAAGGGACCATCTCCTGAGATATGAAGGAAACAAAATGGGTGCGGGGTAGTGAACCGTCCAGGAAGCGGGAAGCTAGGACCACCAGCGTGGTGGCAGGCGGGAACGAGGAGGTGAGGGAGGGTGTGTTGCTGCCGTGGACAGTGACGGCTGGCCTGACATGAGGCCGTGGACCCGGGCAGATTCTGGCCTTTTTCCTGAGAACAATGAAAACTCGGAAGGTTTTCAAGCATGGGTATAACAGCGACAGCAAAGCCCCAGAGGGAAGATCCTTGGGAGATTAGAACCTACAGGAAAAAGACCAGACGGGAGGCAGTCTCCTAAACCAGAGGAGATGGTAATTTGCACTGAGGTGTTAGTGTGGGAGAGAATGGTAAATTTGACAACTATTTTAGATCAGGGGGGAAAAACCCAACCTGTCATTGTATTACTATTGTTTTATTTACCGTCATATTTCTAGCACAAGCATATGTACTTAATAATCTTCATTCAGTATGAGGGATTAAACGAAGGGAACAGCAACAGTGCTTCCCGCTTTAAAAATAAAAACACAATACTTAGTTCATGTAATTAATATAAACTTTGATAGCTCATTAAAATGGGTTTATATTTATTCATGTATTCGGTTGAGTTTTTTTTTTTTTTCTTTCCTATGTACTAAGCACTGCTATGAAAGAGGGCCCTAATATGAGGGCATTTAATTTCTAGTGAAGGGAAAGAGATAGATAAATAAGCTATTTTCAGATAGTGGTAAACCTTAGGAAAAAACAGGATGCTGTGATAGAGCACTACCGATAGAAGGGAGGGGGCAATTAGAGCTGAGATCTAACTACAAGAAGCAAGTCATGTTGACATCTGGTGGATGAATATTCTAAGCATAGAAAATAGCATGTGCTAATAAAGCCCTAGGCAGAGGTGAGGTTGGTGAGCTGGCATGAAAAGAAAAAAGGGCCGCTGAAGCATAAGAGGGAGAGTGGTGTGAGGACAGAGAAGAGTTTGGATCTCATCCTAAGTACAATGAAAAGCCACTAGGGAGTTTAAAGCAGGAGAGTGATATTATCTGGTTTAGGTTTTAAATATCGTTTTGGCTCGGTGGGAATTAGGCTGAAAGCCGGCAGGAGGGGAAGCAGAGGGGTGCATCAGGAACCTATGGCAACAGTAGAGACAGATGACTGGGCTAGGGCTGTAGTAGCAGTGACAGGGAGAAGTAGATGGAATCAAGAGATGTTTTGGGAGTAGAACCAATAGGATATGCAGATGGATTCAATTTAGATGATGAAAGGAATAGACAATTCAAAGGCAACTCCTAGGTTTCTTAACACTGAGTAGATGGTATTATTTATGGAGAGAGGGAAAGAGTGGGTTTCAAAGAGTGGAAATTAAGAGTTCTGTTTTGGGTGATCTGAGTTGCAGGTGGCTATCAGATATCCATCTGGCTGTCTGAAGGGAAAGAAAGCTTAGTGGTTTTTGTTCATCCTTCTCTTTTTGCAGCTGAAGAAAGTAAGGTCCAGAGAGGCTAAGTGACATATTCAGTATCATACAGCTTGTTTAGTTGTGGGAAACAGTATTAGAATCCAGGTCTCTTGGTTCCTAGTCTATGCCTCTTTTTCCACTGTATCTCAAAATAGCTTTTCATTTGAATTCCCTGTAAAATCCATGTCCTAATGATATAATAATGTTCATTATTCATGCCTATAATTATAGAGAAACTAATTTAAGCTTTCCCAGTGTCAGACACTATTCAAAGTGCCTCACATGTAGTACCTTACTTAAGTCCTCACCACAACCCTATCAAGGAGGTATTACTGTCCTCATTTTTCAGGGGGAAACTGAGATGAAATGAAGCAATGTCACCAGGATGAGAGTAGAGAGTGGAATCTGGGCTTTCTGGCTCCAGAGGCTGGGCACCATGTTGCCTCCTCCAAGTGCAGTGATGTTTTAGAACTGGGAGAAGCCGCTTCCAGATTGTTAGCTTTGTGAAGGCAACAGTACTTGAGGCAGGATGTGAACTACAGGTAGGATTCTTATTTTAGAGTGATGAGATTTTCATATAGAAGTGGTGGCATGATAATAGTGAATTTGCTAATACATGATGCACACGGAGAAGAAGAGTAATGGGGAAAAACTTGGAAATGGAAGTTGGAGGGAGAGAACCAGGGTTCTGAATGCCAGGCAGAAGGGCTCGTATTTAACAGGTGAGGCAACAGGAAAAAATGGAAGGTTTCTGACAAGAGACATGACACCATGAGAGCTATACTTTAGGACCTGCCAGGCAGCTCAAGGACAGAGTGAAGTGGAAGAATGGAAGGGGAGATAACCAACACCTATGACCTGCCGGGTACTTTAAACACTCCATAGTCCCACTTAATCCTCACTGCAATCCTATCAATTAGTCACTGTTAGGCTCATTCTGTAGAGGGACAACTGGAGTTCAAAAATTGCAAAAGGGGGGCACCGGGGTGGCACAGTTGGTGATGCATCTGACTCTTGGTTTTGGCTTGGGTCATGATCTCAGGGTTTTGAGACTGAGCCCTGTGTGCTCAGGGCGGAGTCTGCTTAAGACTCTCTCTCGCTCTCCCTTTGCGCCTCCCACCGGGTGCATGCACTCTCTCTCAAATAAGTAAATCTTTAAAAATTTTTGTAAAAGGCCCTACAACTACACGGAAGAACAAAGAGCTGAAGCAAGGTCCCACTTCAAAACCTGCAGTGTTTTTGCTGCCTTTCCCACGGATTAGAGAAGGAGAATCTGATGGCTAAATGTGAGGCAAAAAAAAACCAAGGCCTAAACTCAAGCTGGAATGGCAGAAAAAGGGGACGGATTTGAGAGACAGGAAGGTATCAACAGCACCTGACTCCGTGTTGACAGAGGATGGAGAGAGGCGTCACAAACGACCAGTTCAAGCATAAGCGGCTCAAAGAATGGTACATTAAAAAAAAAAAAAAAACCAGGAGAGAGAAGAGGAAGAGCTTTCAGAGGAAAACAGTAAAGAGAAAAAAAGCATTAATTCCAGAAATTTTAATAGCCATAGCATATTGCTGATTTGCATATTACTAAATTATTACTAATGTGGCTCAAATATGCCAACACTGTTCATCCATGTCTGGATAAGTACAATTACTATCTTTACTAATAAAGCGCAGAGATGGTGGTCAATCCACAAAAATCAAACATCTGTGCCCTTTGGTTCTTGCCTGAACACACCAATAGCAATCTTCACTCGTTTCCTTGTTTCTGCCCCTGTCTCTGTTAAGTGAATTCTCCAACCAGTCTTCAAGGTAATCCTCAAAGGGAAGACTTGAATAGAACCTCTCAGTGGATCCCACTCAGCAAAAGTCAATGTCATTACAACGGTCCGTAGAGCCCTGTCTGATCTGGGCCCCTGCCATCCCTTCTGATCCCACCTCCAGACACTGACACTGTCCCCGCCCCCCCCCACCCCACTGCCTTCCCTCCAACTGCAGAGGCCCCTTCCTGTCCTTCAGCCCATTAGCATGCTCCCCTTCCACCTGGCTTACTCTTCTTGCAGTGGACGTTCACATGCTCCATCCCTTCAGGTCTTTACACAAATGTCATTGACTGAGAGGTTTTCTCCCCAAAAAACAAACAAAAACAAAAAAACCAACAGCAGTTCCCGCCACCAAACCTACACTCATTCCCATGCCCCTACCACCGTCTTTATTTTCCTCTACAGCACCAAATGACCTTTCTGTATATATGTATCGTTCTTTTGCCTCTTATCCTCAAGAAGGTCAGCTCCTCAAGAAAAAAGCCTTTGCTTTGTTTCCTGCTGTGTGCCTAGTATCCAGACCAGGGCCTAGTACGTAGGACTTAGTAAGAAGTTGAATCACTGTGCAAATGAGTGATCGATGACTGAATGGACTAGCACAGCTTTGTCCAGAAGGGAAGAAAACTCTGTTATTGGAAAATCCAGCTTAACAGGCTTTTCTACACTGATTCTAAGTACTTCTTACTTTGACAATTCCTTGTCTTTTATCAGGATTCTTATTAAAGTGCCCTCCCGACCACACAGGTTGATCACCTGAACATTATGCGAACTATGAAACCAAAGCCCTGAGTTTCCACTCGTTTTCAATCATATGCGGAAACACTCTTGATAGAATTAAAATGCTCCATGCTGAGGATTCTAAGCAGTGTTTAATATATTTAGTTACTGCTTCCTCTCAAAGGAATAAAGGATAAATGAGAGAAAATAGCAGCCGTAAATTGCAATTTGCAATGTTGCAAATGAATAATGCCAGAGGCAGGATTCAGGAGATTGTCCCTGAGTCAATTCATCCTTCTGGTTTCACTCTGGGTATGAATTAAATACCATACTTAGACAGTTGATATTCATGCTCACTCCTGAGTCATAAAAGCAGATATCTATTCAATGGTTAAGCTTTATTGTGATTAGTATTACATTTTCTTAAGCTAACAGATAGTTTCCTTTTAATTCCTAGGGGCAGTTTTTCACTATTAAACCCCCAAACATATGGCAAGGCAAACATCTACCTCCGAATCCATCCATATGAATGTGAAATACAAACGTGTGTGTATATGTACACTCTTGATGGACTGACAAATATCTCAACATCCCACAGTAACTAGCATCACCAGTCTAGAATAAAAATATTGCAGATAAAAACTGGACTTCCATAGTATAGGAACATAGCAGCATCACCTAGTTCAACCACTTATGAAAAATGTCTGGCAGT